AAATTTTTATATGGAACCCTCTTTTTTCATTAAATATTTTTGTAGCTTATTTCAACAACTTTCCAAAACGCTATAATAAAGTATGTTTTCGTTAAGTACTTTTTGAGTTATTAGGTCTGAAATTTACGGTACTTTTAATTCCATGAATAACTTTTTGAAAATATACATGATAGAAAAAACTGTTATAGATGAGAAAAAACTGTTATAGAACTAATGTTGTATCGTTTTTTCTGGCGCATATAATAGTAATATCAGTATGACCTTGAATAGCTTTATCCAGGTTTGCTAGAGATCACCTTGAAATTTTTATATGGAACCCTCCTTTTTCATTACATATTCTTGTAGCTTATTTCAACAGCTTTCCAAAACGCTTTAATAAAGTATGTTTTCGTTAAGTACTTTTGGAGTTATGAGGTTTGAAAGTTACGGTACTTCTTGCATTATCCCTGAAAGACTTTTAAAATTTCCAAGATAGCATTTGAACACCACCCCTGATGTTCCATTTAATTGCGTGACATATACAACACACACACGCGCGCTCACCCATTCACGCACGCACGCACTCACGCACGCACGCACGCGCAATTGCACGCACACGCATACACACACACACAGATAGTATCCTTCAGGACCGTCAGTAATTATTACGCAAATCGCGTAGAAATATTTTGAAAATCAGTCCAAACTCTCTTTTTCTATCTCTCTCTCCCTCTCCCTCTCCCTCTCCCTCTCTCTCTCTCTCTCTCTCTCTCTCTCTCTCTCTTGCAATTTCTGAATCGCGCTGTCACTCTTGCTTTCGCAATCGCATTCTCGTTCTCACTCTTTCGCTAAGGCTAACTTCCTCTCTCTCTCGCGCTCTCGCTCTCTCGCTATATAACGCTCATTCTATCGCTCTCTCTCTCTTGCTCACTCTCTCGTTGTCTCTCTCTCACTATTTCGTTTTCTCTCGCTCACTCTCGCTCTTTGTCACGCTATCGTTAGCTTTCTCTAATGAAAAATTTTAAATTTCATTTCATTGTTTTTATTTAATTAAATAAATTATTTAATTAAATTAATTTTTTTAAAATAACAATAGATTTTTATTATAATATTATTATGTAATTATTTAAATTTATTTAATCTATAACTGAAATTTTTTTTAAATTATATAAATTGAATAATTTAAAAAATCATAAATAACATGTTAAAAAAAATTATACATATAAATTCTATATTAATAAAAGATAAGCAGGGCCTATAAAATCGTTGAGAATGTCTATTATATCCTCTGGAACCGATTTCTTCTCTATATCCACTGCCTCTCCATCCTCTTCCCCTGCCTTCACCTCCTGTCCATCCTCTTCCTCTCCATTCACCTCCTCTCCAGTTATCTCCTCTTGATTCACCTCATCTCCAGCCTTTTCTGCTTGATTCATTTGCTCTCCAGCCTCTTCCTGTCCAACCTCTTCCTCTCCAGCCAGCTTCTCTCCAACCTCCTCCTGTCCAACCTCTTCCTCTCCAGCCTCCTCCTCTCCAGCCTCTTCCTCTACAGCCTGCTCCTCTCCACCCTCCTCCTCTCCATCCACGTCCTCTTTTCAAATCACCACTTCTCGAAGTTCTAAACAAAGGCTCTCTTTGCGAATAATATCTACACAAAAATATCTTGTATAATAAATTTATATTAAAAAAATTTTATATTTTGATTAGAAATGATTAACATATATTTTTTAACATCTTATTTTTTGTTTTCTGTGATGATTAACGTCTTCTTCATCTTGTAGACTAATCTGACTTTCGCAATCTCTCTCATAGTTGATTTCTTCCTCCGTTCTATGTTTACGTCGTGATTGTCTCCTACGCTTTCGTTCGATTTTCTTTTCTCTCTCTCGTTCCAAACTCATTTTCTGTCTATATACGTACTCTTCCTCTTCCCTTCACTGCTTTCGTAAAATTTTTCGACGATACTACTACTGTCCTCGTAGGATCGGATTTATTGATTTTCAAAATGACATATAATATATGAAACCAGCAACTTATATATTTATATTAATTTATGGGATGACATTCATAGTGAATTGATTTATAACTTGCTAGTTTCATATATATGATATACAGAGAAAGAATTAATTTTTAATTTAATATATATATGTATACACATATACAGGGTGGGCCATTTTAATTTATACAGTCGATTTTTTAAAAAACTAAAAGAGATATGAAAAAATGTTTCAGACAAAAGTTGTATGGTTTCGAGGGGGACATAAGATGGTACCATAGGTTTGACCTTGAAGAGTAATTTGAAGGTCACATGAAGGTTACCTTCAATTTCTTAAATGGAACCTACTATTTCTCGTTACATATTCTTATAGGTTATC